GGAAGACACGTGTCAATGGGGACGCTAGTCATGGGGTTAGGGCGTAACTGTCATCTACGTCTGGTGTTTGTCCCTTGGTGGTGTGATCGATGTGAGCGAGTGTGGTGCGGCGTGGTGTGGGTGTCATCCGTGCATCGGGTTTTTGGTGTGTTTTTTCCCGCCAGTGTTCGGTTTATTTGTGTGGCTGTTTGTCGTAAGAGCTGGGAATGACACTGCAGTGACTGAACGCAGAAATGCGAACATGAACAGAAACACACAGATCTTTCATCAACGGTCAACAACGGTCGGATCGATATCGGCGATGTCCCCGAAGACAGAAAGCATGAAGGGCGGCGAATGGCTGGCACACCTGACGCCGCAAACAAAGGCCCTGTTCTTGCCCCGCAAGGTCCAGAAGTAAGCGGCAGAGAACCGAGCAGAATCACAATTTGATGCTTCACATTCCCGTGCGTGTCTTGGTCAGGTTTAAGGAGCTCCGCCTTCACTTCGACGAGGACCACCTGAGTGTGGAGGTGGACACAGTGTTCCGCGACACATATGATTTGTTTGTCAACTACCTGGCGAAGGCTGATATTGACACCTTCACGTGAGCCCCCCCTGCCACCCCTCTGCGGGCGCCGTGAATGCCCTCTCTCTGCTGTGCACACAGGTCCCCGCGGTGGCGGATGGTGGCTCAGTACCTGTTGTCTCTCCAACACCTGGCTGCGACACTCAACATCCAACTCTCTGACCGGTCAGTGACTCACTGACAGTCGGTGTTGGTCGGCTGACCGTTGGTGTATGCTCTCTTGTGTCTGTATTCTCGTTGTGTGCAGTCGGTATAGGGAGTACTACAACATCGGTCATCTGGACGCCTTCGCGTGGCTCACTCTGCGACACGCATGCAAAGTACGAATGGAAAAACCACCACATGATGCTCCAAAATGGGGGAACAAGAGACGCACGTTGGTGGGATGAAGGCATGGCTCTGTGTGTGTGTGTGTGTGTCATCTCATGCAGATTGTGTTGCTGCGGCACTCGTTGGGAGACCGGGTCACACAGACAGCCCGACTGATGACACTTCAGTACACACACACACACACACATGCAACAGGTCTCCATTTCTGTCTGCATGCCTGGAGGTGAGTCTGTGTTGTCTTGATGATTCACGTGCAGGCATCGTCTACTGACCAAGGCCCTGCAGCTGTACTATGAGCGGCATGACCTAAAGACCGCCCACCAGCTGCTCGCTGCACTCAAGTACTTCGACGACGCATACAGGTGCCGTTCCGCAGTATTCAGGGCTTCTCTGGATGCGCATGAGTATCGGTGTGGGCGTGCAGCACTTTTGAGAGTGCCATCCTGGATGCCACGGACAAGATGTGCCAGGGCATGTCTCACCGGCTCATCGAGCTCATCGACGCGGCCAGGGCCATCGAGGAGGCCGCCAAGTGCCCCACAGGAGACACCTTCATTGCGCTACACGAGGCCAGGTACCTCGCTGCGCTCTCGCAGGTAGGCGGGTGAATGAGTGAGTAGATGACACTGGCACGAACACAGAACGAAGGAGGCCGACAACGGTCTGTGTGCGTGGTGCATGAATCATGCGTGTAGGTTGCTTCATTGACGACACTCTATCTAGTCGACGAGTGGGGCACAGACGACGGTGTCGTCCGGCCTTCCAACCCGCCGTCGACGGAGTTTTCCCAGAGGGACCTGATGCTTTTCCGAAAGAACCTCACACACCCGTGCGTTATTGTGCCCACCCCCCCACCGACAACGTGTGTGTCCCTCGATCGCGAGTCTTTTGTTCTTTCTCGCAGGTTGCCCGGTATTCGGTACCTGATGAAAAAGGCGCTGAGGTATTACGACGGTCTGCGTCGTCTGCTGCTGAAACTTATGGAGCCACACGAGAAGGACCAGTCGCACCTACTCTACTTACAAGTACGCGCCTACACAGACATTCTATCTTTCATCCAGACGTTTTTGTTTCAATGCTCACTCGTGTAGATAAGCCGCAATGGGCTGCTAGTAGCCACCATATCCAAGCTTAGTTGGGCTTGGTGAGGAAGGCACACACTCGTGGGGCCCTCGCGCCATTATCGCCAGACTGTCTCATGTGTGTGTATTACCCACCCATAAAATGCAGGTTTCACGCTCGCAATTGGCTTCAGTCCGATCGCATGGAAGACATCGCCAAACTGCAGGCAGGCAAGAGAGGAAGGGCTTGCTTGTGAAAGCCTCTTATAGATCCCCAGAGGGATGACGTGTGAGGCTTGTCTTCCCGGCAGGAGCTGGTTGCATATGACACCGCGGCGCTGCGGACCACAATCAAAGAGGAGGGCGAGCGCGCCGCGCAGATCTATCTGGCGCGTCTAGTTGTGTTTGACGAGTTGATGAGTCACGACAGCAGCCGAGACAACGAGGGAGGGACAACAGCCCTCCCTCAGTTGTGTGGGCCGGCTCTGTCGTCGAAGGAAGACGGAGACATGCCATCGTTCCGCATCACGTGGAGCCAGACAAGCGATTGCCTGCGGTGGATGTCCCGCATCCCGGACCTGCTACGCTCGTGTGCTGGCCGGCTGCACTGTCCGCATTGGGGGCAGCGGTTCTGCCTCATGACCAGACTCAGGAGCCAGCTGAGAGAAAGGTGGTTTCTCACAAAGTCGAAACTGTAGCGGCCATTGCGCTTTGGTCGTGGTCTTTGTTCGCAGGTATGGCCACCACATTCGGCGAGCGTTTGCCCGCATAGACATCAACCGGGATAGGGACCTAACGGAAGAGGAGATCAGGGACGCGTTCTCGCTATGGAATCTGTCTTTTGACCGACGCGAGATTCACATCATCTTTGGTAGGCTCTCAGTGCTCGCAGCACTAGCTGTCTCTGTCTGCGTGTGTATGTCCGTATGTCAGAGATCATCGATGTGGACAAGAGTGGCACCATCAACCCAGACGAGCTCCTCGAAATGTTTCTAAATGATGAGGAAATGACGAGTCGCATCAACCGCATGTGTGAGAGCTGCCTCAATCTCGACTTGGGTCCCCCCAGACATCCAGAAGAGAGCTTTCTGCTATCATGCAGAAGAGCGCTGCATCTCGCAGACGCCAAGATGCCCTCACTGGTATCCTCGACCTCGTTCGGCTTCGATGAAAGCACTGACGCCATTGGAGACGTGGCTCCGACGCAAGACAATGAAGACGAGGCCAGCCCAACACATGAACGGTTGGAACAGACAGAGACACGCAAGAAGGAAGGCATAGAGAGCGGTGGATGTGACTGCGCTCCTAACTCTGTAGGTGGTCTAAGCAAGCGAGATGGAGGATGCGCAAGCAGGCCCTTAAGGGTCAGACGGTGCTAGAATCGACCGCGATGGTCAATGAGAACCAGACCTACCCCCTGGTTGCCGACTTCATACCTTTCAACATCTGCGCATTCGCCAACCACGTAATGTACTTTCCGTCTTTGTACTGACATGCGCTGGCACACCCTGTCATACCTGCAGTTGTTGCTGAGTTTGGATTACTGGTGGGGTCTGAGCAGGTAATGTGTCCAAACTGTCCGCAGAATCCAAACTGTTCGCAGGATTGCTGGTGCATTACTGCAGAATCGCCCTGTCCGCATTGGTCGAGGAGGTGGAGCGCAGCAGCCGGAACACGTCCCAACAGACGGCATTCAAAGACATCGATAGCGACACACACCTCCTGGAGCCACCCAACATCCAGCAGCTCACCAAGACCAAATCGCAGAAGAGCCTCCACTCACCGCCTCCGTCGCCCCAAGGCAAGCACCTGCTGCCCGATCATTCGCCGGGATCGTTAAAGCGGGGCGCCACCAAAGGCCTCCTCGTGCGGCAGGGGACTCGTACGATCAAGAAGGGAGGCATGAAGAAAGGCTTGGCAGCTGGAGCGGCTACCAAGAGCTCGCGCGGGAGCGAGAGGGAGAGAGACGGTGGCGAGGAGGGACTGGCGTCGGAGAGGACTGTGGGCTCTGACGAAATGGACGGCATGGTCGGTTTGGAGGTGTCGAGGACGGAGCAGAGGATGTTCGAAGGAGGAGGGTGGCAGAAGGGAGATCGGAATATGCTCAGCCTGCTGGTGAATGAGCAAGTGCATCAATGAGTGAGGAGACAGCACACCTGCCCCCATTTGTGTGTGGTGTCTCCTTCGATCAGGATGTCCTCTTCCCTGCTGACATCCCGTGCTCTTCATCCCATTCCAGTTTTGAGCCTACAGATCCGCTGCTCTACGACCCCAAATCAAGGTGTCACTTGCGAACCCAGCTGACATGTCAGAGCACCGCCAAGTCACCCCAGGCAGCCGCCCTGGGGGCTGCCGATTTGACTCTTCAGTCACCCTCAAGATTCCTGTCGAGAAGATCATGTGAGAAGATCATGGCGAGACGCAGACCCCATTTCATCTGTGTCTTTGTGTGTCCGTGACTTCAGCCCTGGCTCGGTCCAGCGGGCGGCACTCACGTGCGACATCCATATCGATCGCAGACGAAGCGTCCAGAGAACAAGTGAGTGAGTCAGTGCGACGCAAGTACATGTGGATACGTCTGTCGGCTGGGCCCTTCACTTTTGGGCACGTTCTCGCATCTCAGCTACCGTCGATCGGTTTGGGCTCCCGTCGATCTTCAGCTCCGATTTCCCTGACGCCCTCGTCCTTCCTTCGCCGGCGGCTGTCCACGCCGCAGCACGACGCACTCCGGCCTGCCACATCGCCTGCCCGCCGAATCCTCCGCGCTGTGAGCTTCTCGCATCGGCTCTACGAGGGATCAGCCTCTTCATCCAGCCTGTCGGATGCAGATTACGGTCTCCCGCGCCATGTGAGTGCGCGAGAGCTCACTCGTCTCGAAGTGCCCAAGCCAGAGCTGTCATTTCCCTCGCCCCTTTCCTCCTCTGTACCGTCGCTTCCTTCGTCCCAACGGCCGGTGTCAGGACAACGTGTCGATGTTTGTGAAGGTGGTCTGGAGCCGCCAAAGCTGACGATGGAGAGACACGTGTCGACCGCACCAAGCAAGTCGCCTCAAAGTGGCGAGACAGAGCTGCTACTGCCAATTGTCCGGCGAGAAAGGCCGCAGACGGCCGATGTCTTGCCGTCGTTTCACATGAAAGCCGATCTGCCCTCGCCGTCCGCCCATGCAAGTCCTCTACGCCGAGTACCGTCCCTCGCGCCGACACAGCCTTCCAATCCATATGCAACGCCACCAATGCCATCGCCGACGCAACAGCAACCAGAGGGGATGATTGATCCACAGACACGGCGCATGTCTCAACTTTTGAGTGACGGGGCAACGAGGAGAGAAGAAGTTGCGCCCGTGCGTCATGCGACTGTCGGGAGGCTGATGAGGATGTCTCGGACACGAAGCGGCATGCCGACTAAGGTGCCGGCAGCTGATAAGAAGGCCGTTGTGTCAGCAGGCCCTGCGAGCCCACCTGCTTTATATGCGCCCCTTCCCATCCACCAAGCCGCCCACATGTCTTCCTTGCCCAGTGCAGACGTCTCTCAGATGACCACCTCTGTCGACCTAAGGCAGTCCGTCCGGCACTTGCCCTTTCTCAACACGACCGCCTCCCTTCCATCATCGCTTGGAAATGATCGAGGGAGCAACGTCTGTGTGGCGTCGGTTGTGACTCCCGCCAAGCTGTGGGCTGGGGTGCAAGGACGGCAAAGGAAGGGGCTTGTGCACTGATTGGGGGATAGGTCATAGATGATGTATCTTGGCCATGTATGTGTGCGAGACAAGTATGCGACGTTGAGACTACTTATCATGTCGAGGAATGGCCCTTTGGAGCAAGAATGAATCGCATGAATGAACATTCGCACACAACCGCCCATTCGTCCAACATACACGCACGTAGCGGCTCGGATGACCACGTATCCCATTTATTCACTTGCTCTGCCCCACTAATGCACCACGCAGCACAGAGCCCCTCGTCGGCCGATATGTGAATGCACCCGAGCCCAACTGCACTCTTACGACACCAATCTCGTTTAGCGCTGTCGCAGCATGATGCAGCTTCATATACCGCCCGCCCTTTTCGTGCGTCACACACTGCTCCTGTGTGCTGTACCAGGGGCCTGTTGACGCGATGTAGATGTCGATAGGCAGCCGACACTGGACGTCTCTGGGGGCGGCGATGAGCTGCTGCATCATCCCTTTGTTAATATAGAAGGCACACGTGCCGTGGGCGTAGATGCACGTCGGCTGAGACACAGGTAAGGCCCGCCATAGAGAATAGAATGGCCGCCGATCTTCAGCCGCTCGACATGCCTCTTTCCGAAAGGATTCAGCGTCAGCGAGCACCACATCTGCAGACACATGGAGGCATTGCATGTGAATGAGGGATCTTCATGGTGTCTCGTGTGCAGCGGCAGATGATTACCGTCTTCGAGGAAGATGAACCCCGGGTCAGAGTAGTTGGCCAGCACCGTCCTGAGCACCGACTGATAGGCGTAGAATAGGCGGTTGCTGAAGGTGATGGTCCGGCACTTGCTCCGCCGATTGTACTCAAGGCTTGGCGCTGTGGTATTGATTATCGTCATATCAAAGCGGGACGCCCACGAGAGGCGGGAACGAATGCGTCTCCCGTCGTCTTCTGGACGGGCCGATATCATGAACACCCGTGGCATAGGGCACGATGCTGACATGGCGGAGCTGCTCGCAGGGCACTGCATGGCGTAGAATGGGGCGAGCATAGACGCCTTGACGAAGTCCAATGGACTCTGCCGCTCGTTGATTTGGGCCCGCCGATGGAGGACGGCGAGAGTCGCCAGTGCAGACAGCGCCAGCATGCCGATGCACAGCCACGGAGCACTGTTGCATGTCGATGCGAGGCAGTCCTTCATTGCATCGATGCGAGGCAGTCCTTCATTGCAATTGGCACTGATCAAGCACCGAAAGAGTAGGAAAGAGGCAGGTTGATCATGAGCAAGGAAGAGGGCTGATTAATATGTTGGCTCACGTGAAGGCTTTGAGATCGCAAAGAGGCGGAGAGGGAGGGATCAAAAAGATGCGCACGAGAGTTGTCTTCGTATGTGTCTTTCCTTCTTCGGGTCTCCTGCACCATCAGGGACTCACAGACCAAGGCAAGCGTCTTTGTCAATAGGTCTTGGTGGTCGAAACTGGCTGCGAGTCACGAAAATTGATGTCTAACAGCGGTCGAAAACTGGCTGCGAGGTTGCGTGTGATGCACACACACACACGCGCGTAAAGAGACAGACAGACAGACAGACAGACAGACAGCTGGCTGAGAAATAGACGCCAGACAGATGCATGGATGCATTCATTGCATACACGGCCGGCCGAGACACACACGCACACACACTCGCACACACAGGGTACGCACACCACACACAAGTCATCAAATCGCTATCAACAAGACACGACATTAACATCCATCCATTCAGCCGTCGGTCCAGAAACACGGATCGACCAACCACATCACAAGAGCGTAACGACAAACATCACATGTCGATGAGCCAAAATCAGCTGACACAAAGCAGCTGAGAGGCATGCAACTACATACCCCTAGACTACAAAACTCAAACGCGCACACATCCAACATGCGTCCACACCCCACACCGCACCCACATATGTGCATCCGACATCCCGCGGCCCTCTTTGCCACTTGCACACGTCCGTACGCGCCAAACGAGCACACTCATGTAATTCCTCTCATGTACTTATCGCATAGAAACCCGTATGCGACATCGTCTGGCTTTCGACTACCTTGGAACCAGACGGTTCACCCCAATTGGGCCATCATACGACTGATGGCCCTCCCTAATATCACCACACACACAAAACAAATGACGGCCTCCATTTATTCCATCCTCATTTCCCGCTCACCCTCACCTTTTGAGTATCGGTCGATAATTCACCCTTGCAACGCACATACATGCGCCACGCGAACGACCCGACTCGACATAAAACCGTCACAAGAGTGAAGAAGGCAGACGCGATGCAGACTGCCGGATTGATGGACTCCGTCAACCAGACGACCGTCAGCACGAAAATGGGCACTTCCACCAGGGCAAGGGCCGCAATGCGCGTGTGTTGGCATACTGATGGAGTGCCGCGGATGGCATAGTGAACGAAGAGCGACACAACATCCGCCCACGCCAACCCACGGATGACGAAGCTGACGCTTGCATTAGTCATTTCCGCCCCCACCGCTGCGTCAGTGACAAAGTCGATTGCCATACCCACGACGGCCAGCAGCTTGTACAGACGAATGAAGGTGAGGTAATCCATCGGTCTGAGCCACCGCTTGATCACCAAGCGGTAGAGGAGGGGCTGTGTCTGCCGAGCCTTGGCTATGCGCTCGCCCAGCGGAGAGTGTCTCCAGGTTGCCCTGCGACCGCAGCATGAAAGACGGTTACGATCGACATCGAGGTGCCTTTCGCCCGTCGGTTCGATCGATGCACGGACGACGCGCGGCTCCGAGATGACGATAAGAAGGATGAACTGCAGAAGGGCCGCACCAGCCACCCACGTCAGTCCGCCAAATCGGTTGCGATACGTCAGCCCGGGAGCATAGGGGTCGACATGCATCGGCCGCCCCGCGGCGGCACATAACAAATCAAAAAGAAGATAGACCAGAACATGACCATGCTGAGAATCACCGACAAATAGATGATGCATTGAATGCCACACTAAAGAGGCGGTGCACAGAGACTCCCTAAACCAACGAGGAATATGAGAAACGGCGGTCCAACCACAAAAATAGCGGCCCAAACCCCACCCCACCAGGGCCACCGCAACCCGATTAAGAAACCGCCACCCCACCAGTAGAGCGCATCGAGCGCGATCAGGCCGAAGATGAGAGAGAAATGCCTCAGAGGATAATCCGTCAGCCACACGGTCATACAGCCAATCCGCAGCACCAGAAAGCCCCACAGATCACCCGCCGCAGGTTCCGTGCTACACACGTCTGAGAGCCGAGTGCCGCCTTCGCCATTTCCTTCAGCCTCCGTTGAGAGATCCGCCTCAGATGATGATTGTCTGAGGACGTCTAGGGGATCAGCTGTGGTAGGAGGAGCGACTCTGACGAATATGGGCTTCTTCATGGTTTGGGCTGTTGTCCTCAGGCAGTGCAGATGTGCTGGACTGGCTGTTGTCGTGAGCAGATGACATGCCGAGATGGGGGAAGCAACGGATTGGCAGATGCTTGCCACAGGGATTAGAGGGAGCCGAGAGGGGATGATGGGAGGGCGAAACGACGGCCGGAGGGGATGGCTTGAGAAGGCCGCTGGCAGATCCGCATTGGACGGGAGCTGCATCGCGACGGAGGTCATTATCCTGCTTCACTTCAGCAGCAGCTACACCAAATCACCGCTCTCACTGTGCGAAAAGGCCGGTGAGGACCTTTCCTGTAGTTAGCTCAATAGAGGATCTGCTGGGCGGTAAGTCCCAGAGTAAGAGTGCTTTTACTTTAATAAGACCGATGGACTGGCCAATCAGTCAAAGTTGTTTCTGTCCATGTATGGCATCATGAAGGGTGGTCAACACAGATCTCACTTCGGTGATGGCT